CACGGATGCACAAGACAGATCTTATGGTCTATTTTAGGTGATGATGTAGCTCTCATATTGTTGCACAAGAGTCTCTCATACTCTTTGTCCATCACACCACAGTCATCAATGGACCACACATATCCTTACCTTTCTCTTTCTTACCTTCCTTTCCTAAGACGATCACGTAGAAACTTAAAACACATCATCTAACTGATCTTTCAACTCCTGACATTGATCAAGGAGATTTGAATGAGAAGAGCGTTAGAGAATGGAGACAAGTCTATGCACAGATAATGGAAAGAGAGAGGTATGGAACAGAGAAAGAGAGATCTGAAGACCTTTTCTGCTATCAGCTTGACTGGCTTTTTGACTGGAACACAGGCGCTTCCGTGGCTTTTCAAACACACAACTTGTCACAACATACTACAGCATAAACGATCCAAATCCATAACCGCAGCTTCCCAAGTGGGAGTTAACAGACTTTGGGATACCAGCAGGTGCAGCGACATGATTACCATGATTACTTCTTACAATTTTTTTTTTTGTATTGGGCTTCTTTAAAATTAAAATAGGACTATTCATAATTCATCTCCACTCCACCAGCTACTGAGGCATCTTCATTTAAAGAAAAAAGCATTAATTTCAATGTTAAGTGCATGCCTAAATGAAATATGCAACTAAAGGACATTTAATGATATTTGCACAATACTTTCCAGTAATCATTCTAATTGTCATTATCTAGTGGATGCACCCTGCCTCTGAACAAGTCAAATGGTGTTTTGCAGCCAGTCTTTAACTCCTTGGGCTGTGTCTCCTAGTTCAAACCTCCTTTGCAGTTTTCACACTAATATTTTCCATTTTGCACCCTAGCTTTACAGCCTCTCATTTTTTTCCCATTTTTGATTTCTAAATGCTCTTTGCTTCTATCTATACAATCACAGTGCATTCAAAATGAATCATGGGATATAAATATGTGAAAAAAAAAATTTGGGAAAGTTGTAAACGATTTTTCCAGCAAAAAATACTACATGTTCAAAAACACACAAATAAAGATTTTAATAAGCCTTACACAAACAGGCACATGCCTACTCGTTCCTCCAAATTCTCAGAGTTCTTGCATAAGACTTCTTTTATATTTGTCTTAGTCCCTGAAGTTACACACATCTTAAAGTTAAAAAAGATAGACTTGTTAATAACGCACAAATGTTCATAGACATAACATCTTTACAGATCTCCTCTGCGAGCAAATCAAGCCGCTCTCCATATGCATTTAACCAGAGTGGAAGGCTGGAGTTTTTAAGTTGACAGATCTGTGCCTGGGTAAGAGGCGCTCTATTTTCACTCTTCGAGCAGTGAGAGATTAGCAGCTTGAAATCACTTTGACAGTTTCAGTTACTCTATTGCATACCGCAGGGAATTTTAATTCCAACCTGTGAAATTGTAATTGCTTCTCAAGAAGAGCGGAAGGATTCTGGGTAATGGCCACAGCCAAGCTCAATGTCAGAGTTGCCAGTTGCTGCCACTTCAGATATTACTTGCTGTTATTCAAAAATCACTCCAGTTTTCCATATGGGAAGTTGAACCGGGGAGTGAAACTAAATTAACAGAAGCTGTCAGATGTTCAGAGATGTGCAGGCAATGATGTGATAGAGGTGGATGAACTCTCCTCAAAAGGTACCTTTTCTCCTCCTTTCTCCCTCCTTCTTTACAGAACAAGCTTTACATAGACCATTTTTAAAATTTCATTTTCTTTTTCTAAATAAGTATACCATTACTAGAAAGCTACAATGAAAAAATTAAATGACAAAGTCCTCCAGCATCCAAAACCATGCACAACTGGCCATAAAAAGTGTGCAGAGATTTAAGATGTCTTTGCTGTTCAAGTCTTGTGGTTTGCAAGATTCCTCACTGAAAACAGCCAAAGAGAACTCAGAGTTACCACAGATATTTAAGAAAAATAGTGGCGGTTTCCTTGGTATCAAAAGGAAATTAGATTCTTTTTTGCTTTTTTTTAAAAAAAGGCACTGAATGTAGATTGCTTATTAGCAGACACATTCTTTAGTGATGAGTGCGTTCACCCACGTGTAAGAGTGAGATCAACTGGGGAAACTCCTCCTATAATGACCTCATTAACTTGGAGTGCAGTAGCTTTCTCACCCACCCTGATGGCTTGCAAAGAGAGAATACTTGGTGGCAGTAGGCCTCAAACATAATGTCGATGTAACAATTAAAAACGCCACTGGCATGGCAGTTAGAAGCCTTCAGGGAGCCAAACGGGAGCAAAAATCACAGATCAAATGTGTTCAGGTCAACCCATTCCATGAAGTAGACACAATTCCACCTCCCACTCAACAGTCACTGAGGTTTTCCAGCGGCCTTGAAGAGCAGCCTCAAGCAGCATGGAGTATGGATTTTGCCTGAAGGTCCAGATGAGCTGTTTGACCAGAACTGACTTGTTCAGCTCAGTGTCTTTGAAAGCTTTACATTGTAAATAAACAGGAACAAACGACAAACACTCTACTGCTCTACAATACCAAGTGTCAAAAAGCCCTCTCAAAATCTAAAGGAAGATAATAAAACACTTGATAAACAACACTTCCTACTTATCAGCTTAAAACTCAGTTTAAGAATATACTGCATCTGTGGGCAATGTCATTTACAAAGCCTTCTTCACCCTGTTTCTGTACATTGCATTATTTCTAAGAAAAAAAGCCAGTCCTATCAAAGCCAACGACGCATAGAATCTAAATCACAAGCTCCACAAATCTCTGCAACAGCTGATGCAATGAGTCTGTAATTGCTACGACTAGATAAGCTGGAGTGGCTGACAGAGTGCTAGAGGCACAGAGCATATCTGTGGAGCTTATTCCCATCAAATGAAAAAATCTGGCTCAGATATAATGATTTTGTCAACTCACAGTTTTCCTGAGAATCTTGTGATATGTGGTACTTTCTTGGAAATTTCAGCTGCCAGTGTCAAGTGTTTTGGTTTTTTTAATATTTCAGATTTGTTAAAAATGTAAATTGCTGATTGTTACATATTCCTGAAAAAAACAAGCAGAAGCAAATGAACAGCACGGGCTTTTTAAAAAAATCTCAAGAATTTTGAGTCTTGGCTCATGACCTTCAGTGGCTGCAATAAGAAATATAATATTCAAGTCATTACACACCTAATTTCCTAAAGACATTTACACTTCTTGTTATAATTTACAGGCTGTACTGAAAGCATCATGGTGAAACTTCCTGATTAATTGTCTGCAACTACTAGGAATCCTCGGATTATCAGTACAAAGCATTCTTCCAAGGGGATTATTCATCTGCACTGTAGAGCCACTGTAATGGCTTTGGCTGGCATAGAGTTAATTTTCTTCGTTGCAGCTAATATGGGGCTATGTTTTGGATTTGTGACCAAACCACTGCCAGTAACATGGGGATGTTTCAGCTGTTGCTGAACAGTCCTTGCACATCATCAAGACCTTTTCCGTTTCTCACCCCACCAGCGAGGCCTGCGGGTACACAAGAAGCTGGAAGGGGACACAACCGGGACAGCTGACCCTGACTGACCAAAGGGATATGCCATGCCATATGATGTCGTGCTCACCAATAAGACCTGAGAGGAGAGAGGAAGAAGGGGGGGACATTTGGAGTGATGGCATTTGTCTTCCCAAGTAACCGTTATGCGTGATGAAGCCCTGCTTTCCTGGAGATGGCTGAACATCTCCCTACCGATGGGCAGTAGTGAATGAATTCCTCGTTTTGCTATCCTTGTGTGCACAGCTTTTGCTTTACCCCTTAAACTGTCTTCATCTCAACCCACAAGTTTTCCCACTTTCACCCTTCCGATTCTCGCCCCCATCCCACTGAGGGGGAGTGAGCGAGTGGCTGTGCGTTCGCTGCCTACTGGGGTTAAACAACGACAGCCATGTGGGCAGCTCAGCTCCGTCTGTGCTGGGTATGACACAAACATACTAAAAAAAAAAACAAACCAAAAAAACCCGTTCCTGCTCCCAAGATTTGAAACAGACTTTGCAAGTGAAGTTTGGATGAAGATCCAGAAAGGTGACAAGGCAGGAACGAATGAACAGTATCGTGCAGTCAGCTGCTGGCAGAACTGAGCACAGAGTCCAGTTTGTCACTGACCAGCACAATCCTTAGACACATGGAGATTCGGTCATGACAAAAACGGCTTGAAGAAAGTAATTAGAAATTTGTAGCGTGCAAAAATGTAACCTCCCCACTAACAGAGCAATATTGTCTTATACACAGCATGCTCCAACGCACAGCTAATAGGAGATTCACATTTAGCTCTCTGAGCAGTATACTAAACCTATAGAGACTGTATTAAATCCATCTTTTAAAAGAACTCTGCCACCAGAACTCCATCTTCCCATTCATTGACAAAAACCCATTACCTCTAAAACTATTTCTATGTAAAAAATAATTCTTTGTTTTTTTAAGCCTAAAGTTGAGAGAGGCAAGATGGCAGCCCAAAAGTTCTTTCAGACAAGACAGCAAAATCAATAGCAAGAAATAACAAACTTTAATGGCCCAGCACTGTTTGATTCTAATGTAAAAAACCACATATCAAACCACCACGCTGCATTAAGCAAAATCTTTAAGAAAGCTTTAAGTGTTCTGCCCATAAAAGATTACCAACAACACTCAATGGAAAGATTTCTTACAAACTTCACGAGTTTCCTGCATGCAACTTTACCTGCTACAGCAGTTACAAAAATAGTAAGCAATTCAAACATTGCATCATTTCAGAAAAAAGAAGAGGAAAGATGCAACAAACTGTTCCACCAACCAAGGATCTCCAAGTTTGGCAAGACAGGTCTCCTTAGAGCTTATTAACATTCTCTCCTATGAATGACAGGAAAGGCATAGGGTGAGTAGAAACTATTGCCCAACTTATATTAGCTTTTTTTTTTAATAGAAAAAAAGAATTGTTGGTAGAATTGTTTCCTCTGCAGAATTTAAACAGCAGTTCTATTGTTTTCATAAAAGCCTCATTCAGTTCACAGTTCTGTTTTCATTCCTCCGTAGTAAAACATAACAAGAACTGCCAGCAGAGCCAGGCTGACAGACAGTATCTTCAGTCTCCCTCCTCCTTGTTGCCATGGGAGCTGCAAAGCCATCCACGAGCTGCGCGGTGCTTCCACTGGGACCTCAGCAGAAGGGCGTGCTTTCCAGCTGGTGCCATTCCGTGGTGCACGTCTGAACTCCTGTGAAGAAATGCACATATTAATATTGAAACTGTGTTACGTACTTCTGATTGTACATACCGAATACAAATATTGTATCCTTTTCATATTAAGGTTCAAATTAATATCCCTTTCAAATCTGCACTGCATCATCATCAGGTTTTCATACAGAAATCTTACCAATGCCACACAAAGTCAGTCTTTCTAATGAAATTAAATGTCAAACCAATGAAGCTGTTAGCCACGGAAACAAATCTCCAGACCTCAATGCCATCAGACACACGTGTTTGACGATTATTGTTTAATTTAGTTGTTTTGCTGCTATCTCACTACTCTCTCATTTTTGGTTTCTTCAAAAGAAATATCTAACCAGGGACCACAACACAACAATCCTTTGCACAGCAGGGCTCTTCTGAAGTCAATCATTGTCTCCTGGTGTGCCAGCTCAGTGGTGCTTGAAAATCCTCCCACCGGGCTCTTCCTTTCCCCGGACCCTCAGGAGGCAGCTGTGCTAAAACACCTTCTCATTCAGCATATCGAATCCCCGTTCCCTGCTGTGCCTGCCATCACTATTCTCAACCTGACTGCAAGCACCAAGATCCCCCAGAACATGAGGACTTTTAACTGCAGCACAAGTGACAGATGTTAAGTCACCATTTCAGCTGAAAATCCAAGTTGAAAGAATAAGAACCTCTTCTCCCTCACAACCTTGTTCAGTTTAGCATGCTAGCATCGTAGGTACTCAAAAGTAAAAATATCTATTAAAACCACAATCTGATGACATTTGCCAGAAGTGTAAATGGTAGAGGAGTAATCAAACAAAGGTGTAATGATCTTGCATAGTAAGATTCAATAGTTCTGTTCATAATTTCTTTTTTCCTCCCTCTATTTCAATAATCGCTTTGCAATTCAACTGAGCTCAGTTGGATTTTTAATTGGTCTGAAATTTTCCAGCTAAAAAAGGCTTCTGATTAATCCATTTTATTTTTTTTCTTTCACACTTTGTATAAAATAAGTCAGGGACCCAGAGAGTACCTATCTGGATAAACTTGTATTTCCATGCAGCTGAAAACAAGGTCACATGAAAATACAGCCCAGATGCCCGACCCCCTGTTTTACCAAATGTATTTCCAGACAAACTCGAAGAAATATTAAAGCTCCAGGAAAGGTGCCTGCCCATGAAAGTGTGACAGCACAATTCAAACTAACTGTAACTGCCTCCTGTTTTCCATTTCAGGAATCAGCTCCATTATAGTAATTGTAGGAGGAAAATAATGATTATTACTGGTTAGGTAAGTAAGCATCAAAGGGGCAGATGACAGCCTGGTGTACACGCTATTCTAACACATGAGGTATTGTTGATTTAGATCACAGTTCACACAGGCAAAGGGTTACTGAACAAGTGACCTATGAAATGAGGATGACTTCTTACTAAACTGAACCCAGAAGACCATCAACTGGGTAAACAGAGGAAAAGGAAACAGGTAAGCGCATTGGGGTGTAGTTCTCTGCAGTGTAAGGCAGAGTAGCCCTCCTCCAGGACTTCAGTCTATATTGTGCTGAATACATTAGCTTCATCAAAAACTATGAAACTGCTTCATATTGTTAAGTTAGTAACTACAATCAACTCCTAAGGCATCTGAAATTTTAGTAACTGGCCACAGCTATTTTATCCCTCTAAATCAAAGCTGCTTAATCTTTGCACATGGAATAAACTGGAAACCATACAGTATTAAGGATTTTTTTATATATGAATCAAAATTCATTAGCAATTTATTCTTCCTAGACACTTATAAAGCTTCCTTTTCTCTGCAGGTCTCACAAATCTCTACCAATCTAAGGTACATAATTTCTGGTCATACCCTATTTTTACATGTCTTGTTGGTACGTTAACACTAAGGCTGAGGTGATTTAAGAGAATGGATAAGGCTGTAAAAACATCAATACAGCAAAAGACTGATTTCTTCTGGTGTTTAATTTTCACCAGTTCATGACTTAAAATTTGGCTGACTCCAGTCAAGACTCCTAACTCTGTATTAAATATTTCTACACAGCTTGATAATCAGTAAAGTTCTGAATATTTAGTTGTACAAGACTAGATTTTGTCCCTTAGAAAACCGACGAAAACGGCCAGTACGTCCTGAACAACTTTGTGACTTTCTCCTCAATGCTCCTTTTCTTTCTCAGCCTCAGGTCCTATCTACTTGTCTCTGCGAGACTGGGGACAGCCAGCAAAACACCCCAAACACAAGTTACAACTTGTAAGAAGTTTTGAGGGACTTCTTTTTTCCCCGTTTACTAACAGTTAAACATGTTAGTGTTTCATGCATTCATTCGTGTTCCTGTGCAGTAGTTTTCAGCAGTGACTTCACTGGCACTTCATTTCTGTTCTACAGTTCTTCTGTTTTCCAACATCAAACCAGATGATAGTCTCCTCTTGTTGGTACAATTTTGATCATGAATAGCCTATACTGTTTTTTTGTTATCATGCTGCTTTCTTAAACCTCTATTGCAACGTGCAATGCATATATATTAGGCAGTGCTGCATACTGCTAAGTAGGACAGAATGACAAAAGAAATTTTAGCGAGGTTTACAAAGTGCCGGTAGTGGGGAACACCACTGGCCCCACGGCCAGTAGTCCCAGTGCTATTTCATCTGAGTAAGCCAGCCTGTAAGGTTGCGAGCCCCATTTTCTTCCTTACTATCATATTTCCCATAAATTAGATGATCATACGGTTACATTAAACCCATTTTTTATTTTCTTTCTGTAGAAGAGATTTTATCTCACAGTATTTTACTAATATTGAAACTTCACTGAGTTGGAGGTACATTTCTCACAATTTCACTGTGCTTTTGTTTTCCTTCTATCTTTTATTTTGAACTCTGATGCATTCATTTCTACTGGCAGTCACGTTTTCTAAACTGCTCAAAACTTTCAGATTTTTGCAGTATCTTAGATCACATAAGAGCCACACTTCAGAAGTTTTTCTCTCAACAGATGCATACATGAAATACTGCTCCCCTTACCTAGCTAACCTGAATTCCTTACAAATTTTCTCACAGATTAAACTGTTCTTATGTGGACATAAAGATCACAATTTTCAAATGAAAGTGACCCTTTCCTTTAAGACGTACTTCACAGCTTATCACTTCAAACACTACTGCATTTCTGTTTGATAATGTATATCTCTTCAGATGATCCTGCCAAATATTTTCTGTCAAGAAAAATAAAGCATATGTTAATCTGATCCACGTTTTCTAAGAACTATTCTCTATTTTGCCCCCAAATTCTGCCTTGCAGCACTGACGCAGAGGTAATACCGCTAGCTTCCTTGAAAATTTCTGTCCTTATTGTCACAGAAGACGCATTTGTCAAAAAGGGTACATCTGGTTCCCTGCAGCTGCAAGGCTCCTGTAGAAAATGGCAGTCTTTTATCCCCCCTGCAATCCATACCACAGCTTTTAAACCCACGATCACCTCTCAGAGACACCTGCAGGTAGATGCCTCTTCCTAGGAGTCTGCTGTGCAGCTCTGTGAGACACGGTCCAAAACCTGCCGAGGGAACAGGAAGAGCTCTACTCAGCTGACCACGTCCTCGCGTTCTCTTCAGCCTGAGCTAAGGGCTGAGCGGCCTTCACTGCAGTCTGGACAACAGCGAAGTGCCTCTCTAGAATATAATCAGTTCTTACTAACATACAAGTATCATATTACCAGCTGTGCTAGTGAAAAACACTGTATATGTATTTTTAATTGGGAAAAAAATCCTTCTGTAGGCTGTGCCAGAGGAACTGGTTTTCAGGCAGGGTATACAGTATATATCATAGTGTATATTGTATGCACAGAGAAGGAGGGGAGAGGATGAAGTTACAGAAACTAAAACTAAAATTAAGCCTTCCAGGGTAGACAAGGCAAATTACAAGAGCTTTTTTGTGCTGTCATACGAGCTTCAGAGTTTGCAATACTGCAGTGCTATATTCTGAGATTCTCCCATATACTTTGCCTTGAAGGGCTATCCAAGCCATATGGAGAAAACACCTTTCATTTCTTCGCAGGGAGGGGAGTTCCCACAGAAAACCAAGTTTATTAGAGCTCTTTTATGCACCTTTGGTGCAAAAACCCTGGGTGGAGGCAAAGATCTCATTTGTTGAACTACCAGTTACGCTGGTCCACTCCCTATGCTCTCACTTTATAGAAGTAGTAATTCTGAAAGGCCTTTATTCGTATCTCCGGATAAAATACTTGCAGTGTATTAGCTTTTCAAGGAAATCTTCAAGGCATTTCTGTAACATTCTGAACCGATACAACGGTGATGTTTGCTGTACGCAATCACTAGTCAGAGTGCAAGTTCCTTAGGCTGAGCTCAGAACTCACACTTTGGTAGCTGCAAGACTCAGGAAGATTAGCATAATGATTCAGTTCAGTGGAATTCAGAACTAAATCCAAAGCCTCTTTTACCCCAAAAATACTTGGAGGAAATCCTAAGGTAAAGAAGTTTCCAGAAATACGTGTTTATACTACTTTAAGTCTTGATAGGCCATAAACTCTTTGGTAGATTTGTTGTTAATAAGGAGCATTGCTCTCACTCAAAAGGACCGCAAGGAAGGAAAACGTACTCTAAGATTTAAACCTATATACTATTAATCAAAATGAGGGGAGGAAGGGAAATTATGAAACTGAAATGCAAAGACATACACTTCGAGCTAAGCATCTTGTATTTCCGTGGAGGCAGCCTTTCATCTTGTTTTGGCAGCCACAAAGTAAACAGCAGACTTCGCTAATAAGGTATAACATAAATTATTAAACCATCTAGTGTATGATCAAATGCATTTCAGATTATTTTCTGAATAATTCCGCCTTGACGACTGCCAGGAGTAATATATTTTGTGTACTCTTGCACAGACCCATTGATTGCTGTCTTTCTGAAGCTCCAGTCCCAGACTTCAACTGCCGCGCATGAAAGAAATACATAATCACATCAAAACCTAAGCTTTGGCATCTGTCGATCACAGCCTAGCTTTT